TTTAGATGGAGACCACTTTTGAAACCTCTACCACATCCATAGTAGTACAAATTCAATTAGTACTTCTCAAGGCAAAATTGTTCATCTCACTGTCCTCTATCTATACGTGTAAAATAAGATGACATTCATCGGAAGCAATTAACTATTTTTTTAATTAATCGAGTCATCCAAAAAAAGTGGTTTCTTCTAGCATACCCTCACTCTGTTTCTCAAATTATTTCAGACCTGAAGTAGATCATAAGGGAAAAAATTGACATTTCAGATGCAGAAATGTTTGGGCTACAAAATGATGTAAAAGAAAACAATACTGAAGACTCATATTGTTGAGTTACACCACTATTAATCATACGACAAGATATTGCTATATAGTAAAATTTTCATTTTATTCAAGTTTTAGTCTAAACGATATGGTAAATCGCCACAAATTAAAATATACAGAATACAAATATGGTTAAATTATCATCTTTGACTATATAATAGATAAAAAACATAATAATCTAATGAATTAAAATAAAGAGAAAACACTCGAACTATAAAGTATGTAGTGAATTTTCCTAGAGAACAAGAAAAATGCATTTAAATAATAGAAACAAACGTAAGTTGAATTTTTGCGATTTAGACAGGTGATATAGAATGTTCGATGTCATGAGCTATATACAATGGGATGTTTAAAGATCGTGAGATATCGGGAATAGCTATTCAATGATTGTGAAACAGTTGGAAGATTTAAGAACATTATTCCTGAAAGCATTTTTTGTTGGATTGGAAGAAAAACTATTGTTCGAACATCATTAGTTATGTAATGGTTGACAGATATGTGATAAGTAATCACTAGATTGTGATGAATAATCAGAACTACGTTGAACTGAATCAAGAGTAGGTTTAACAAAAGACGACAAGGATGAGATAGGTTGAGGAGCTACAATTTTACAAAAAATAAAAATGTGTTCAGATTAGATCATATACTAAAACGTTAATCAAACAAACGTAGTGTGTTGAATTGCTGATGAGGATGCATTAATGGAAATCGAAGGATGAGTTGGAAGCTTTGGCGGACTTGAAGATAGAATTGTTATTGTACTGCTTGTACTAGATATGATAGACCGATCTAGAATACATTAATTATTCTTTGTTACTATGAATATCAATCTTGAAAAAAAGCTAATAATTAGTTTAGAGTGTCACTTCGAAAAATCATTCATTTAAAGACAATGTCCTCATTAAAGGTTTATTTTATCATACCGTTCTCTTCATTTTTTACGTCGTTTTGTTCCATTCAACTTTTGACTAGTAGAACGTGACCGTTTGGAATTTTGTTTGTTTTTTCGTTCTTCAAGTTGTTCAATAACATGTTTTTCGGTTATTATGTGACCATAGTTTCGATCGAGTACCGTTGGTTTTGCAGGTTTATTTGATGTTTCTTTTGATGGTGTAGGAAACACTGCTTGTAATGCATTTGTGATTGCTTTAAGTGATTCTTGTGAATCTAAAGGTGATGAATTTATTATTGTATCATCTAGAAAAAAAGTTTGTTCTTACGATAATAAAGTTATTAACATTACCATCTTCATCCAATATGTTAAAACCAATGAATTTCAAGATTGAGTTTTTTCTTTTTTATTTGGTTGTGATGAAATTGGTTGATGATGTTTCATTGCTAATGATGGTTTTGGTTGAGTTTTTTGCATCTCTTGTAGTAATTATTGTAATTCTGCATGTGGTAAATTTATTATTAAATCATCTAGAAGAGAAGTTGATTTTACAATAATAATACAGCTATCAATATTACCATCTTTATCGGAAGAGACAAAACCAACGATATTTGGACTTATTTTTTTTTTTTTTATTCTGTTTTGATGAAATTGATTGATGATGTTTGATTGCTGATGATTTATTTTGTTGAGATTTTTTTTGTTTTGTTGATGATGTAGCTATTGACGAAGTAGTAGTAGATTTGAATGGAAAATATTCCTCATCATCCTCAACATCATCATCATCACTTTCACTACTATTTATCGATATTGTTTCTTGTAAAATTTGATCAAGAGCAGCAATTGCTTCAGAAGAGGACGTAAATGAAGAAGCAATAGGTTGAGGAGAGGATACAGTATTAATTATTGATGGATGATTGTTACTAACATGACTATTAGTATTCAACGTTCGTGAGTTGTTGGATGAAGAAAAATTATTTATTTGATTATTTTTCGATGTTTTATCTATGGACGTAATAAAATTCGATGAAAAAGTATTGATTGATGTATTACTTTAAAAATTCGTGAACGATCATTGCTATTAGGATTATATGGAAAGACTCCAGCTTTTATAAAACTTTTTATTACGTTGGTTTTCATTCGAATAGCATCACTATTCCATAATTCCATTAAAAGTAATAGAAATCGGGCTTTTCCAATCGTTTTGTAATTAGTTCGTAAAAATTCACTTTTTAAGATCGTAGAAAGAAATTATTCAACATTTCTCGTCACGAAGCTGACTTCTTCCATTTGACTTCTAACGAATCAAAAAACACCAGATGAAGAGGTTGAAGAAGATGAATTGAGTTGGATGGAATACAAAGAATGATCCTAAAAGTTTTTCAAAAATTTGTCTTGTTTAATCACGAAACTGACAAGACTGAAATACAAAAATACTATTTGATGACTTACACATCATTTTTTATCGCTAACATGAGTGTTTCAACATCGAAGTGACAATCATGACCATCCAAGATCAATAATAATGGTCTTGACATATTCTTTGTATGTTCTAAAAAGATTTGTTCAAACCAACGACAAAATAATCTTTGATTCATCCATCCACTATTAAAAAAAAATTGTTTTAATTATATTAATGTAACAACAATGGAAATGTCCAAGACCATTGCCTTTACAGAAACTTACTTATCAGAATTTTCAAAACCGGTGCTTTGTGGTCCTCCAACACACCATTCTTGAAATAACCGTTTTGACTTATTAATAACAAAAGGTGGAAGAAGAACACCAGTAGCAGAAGCGCAAAACATAATGCTTATATATGCTTTTCCACCTGTACCTCCTTGAATTCGATATGCTTTTGATGATTGTCTGTGGACAATAACTTTTGAGCAACTAATGATGTTGGACATGCCTAGAATAAGATTACTGTACGATGAAACTCATTGTAAGAGCAAGTATACTAAATTATTTTTACCTCACTCATCACAATTAAACATGTTAGCTGGTCTATTTGATAAATCATTATCTTGAATGACTTTATTTAATAATTCAAACCATCTATCTATCCACTTGTTCTAAAGTTAAAACAGCTCGTTTTTTTTTCGACTGGATACGATTTTTTCAAAATAAGATTATCATGTTGTTTTAAAAAAGAATAAAATCAATCATATGTAGATGTTCCTGATGGAAACAAGTGGCTTTTATTAAGAAATAAAGCATATTCTTTGGATAGATTTAGAAATTCATCAATAGATAATGGAATACCCTAACTCTTAATATAAAAAATTTTACAAAAATTTAAAAAAAGAAACAAACAGAAGTTGTTTTACTTGTAGAACAAGAGCTGCTTGCTTTAGATAACCTTCTTCGTCTTTAGTAAATTTAGTCCGTCGATCCACTTGATCGTATAAAACTTCACTATTTACCTGAGAATTTAGTATTGTATAAGGTACACGAAACGAATTTGCAGCTTCACGAATTGAAGATCCATTACGAACTGATTCCATAGCCAATTGAAAATCATAATCACTGTATTTGTTTTATTCTTTTTTTGATATATTTACGTGCCATATATTAATTTTTTTTACATTCAAACATTAATGATTAGGAATAAAATTTATTATGAGATGATGACAAATATAATAAATGAAATACACACTTTTATCTACCATACGAAAAAGAGAAAAAAAAATTATACAGGCATATTGAGGGAGAAAATTAGTGCTTTTTTTAACATTGCCTGTTCATTAACTTCAATACATAGCCATCTCTACAAAACAGAAAAATACAACTAATTCATTTGTATGATCTAGGTCCAGGAAAAATAAAGAACTTATCAATTATATCTCTTGGATATAAGAAGAAGTTTAACAAATCTTTACGCATCATCATAAGCAATTGTTGAATATTCCGAACTGCGATATAAACTATTGCATTATTCTAAGACGAAAAAGTAACAATAAAATATTTTCGTCATTAGAACAAGTCAATAATAAAATTTAAAAAAGACTATTAGCATTAAAGTCGTTTTTTCAAGCGTGAAAAATACTTGACAAAAAAAATTCAATCAAATCATTGCATTGTATAGCATGATTAATAGTGGTATAACTCAACAAGATGAGTCTTCAATATTTTTTTCTTTTACATCATTTTGTAGTCCAAACATTTCTGCATCTGAAATGCCAATTTTTTTCCCTTATGATCTACTTCAGGTCTGAAATAATGTGAGAAACAGAGTGAGGGTATGCTAGAAGAAACCACTTTTTTTGGATGATTCGATTAATCAAAAAAATAGTTAATTGCTTCCGATGAATGTCATCTTATTTTACACGTATAGATAGAGGACAGTGAGATGAACAACTTTGCCTTGAGAAGTACTAATTGAATTTGTACTACTATGGAAGTGATAGAGGTTTCAAAAGTGGTCTCCAGCTAAAATAGCTGAAGTGATCTGAATTACCCGGACAAGATTTGCTTAAGTGATCCGAATTATCCCAAATCAATTTTTTCCTTAAAAAAACTGGTTGATAGAGGTGTTAGTGTTGTAAATACTGCATCACAATGGTTCGTTGATTCATTGAGATATTTTCAGGTTCCATAAAAGACACTTTGCGCTATCAAACAACATGATTTTTTTTCATATACTACTGAATAAAAATGAGTTATGAGATGGGAAAATATGTCCCATACATTTTCGTTTGAGTAATCCGAACTATCCAAAATGGGGCAATTTGGATCAGCTCGACAGAACTTTTATTATGTTTATGGTAACTTTTTTCAGTAGAAGGTTTCTAAAAAGTCTTTCAGCACTGACTAGAGGACAGTTTGTTCTAGTTACACTCCAAAAATCATCCCTTTATGACGAACAATGAATGAGAAGGAATGAAAATAAAATGGATTTTCTAGTTTGTGATCCAAATTACCCCACCTGAGTGCATTATATGTAATTGTAGATACCCTTACCCTTCTTACTTTCGAATCAAATTGTGAAGTTGAAAATAAAGGACTTTCATCAGATACGAAATCGACGAATGTTTAGTGAAATAATTTTGCTGAAAAATTGTCGTATTATTTTTCAGATTTATAGTATTCATCGAACACAAATTCTAAAAAGGTCAGTTGAAAATTAGATAGTTGTTCTGTTATGATGAAGATGAATCTTAATGAATTACAATAATTATTAGATAGGACTGAATTTTGTGCAGACTACACTTTGATGCTTCCTAAACCAGAAATCCTGAATCTCCAAAATCTGTCAGAATCAACGATAAACTATTACAGTATCTATCAAATGTCCAATAAAAATATTCATACCACTAAATATCAAATACCTGCGTAATTCGTAGTATTCGAAACAGAATACTTTCAAATATCTAATTTCAAGTATTTATTCATTTCATTAGATAGACCCTCCAACAGTTGTATTGCTTACTGCATATGATTTGTCAAATATGATCTCGTGAAAGAAGAATCAATATTTTTGCTCAGATTCGTCTTCACGTAAAAACAACTATTTCGATGATGTCTAAATCATGTTTGTGATTTTCCAAAAAATTGAAAACAATATATACCATGAATAATCTGAAATCGTTCAATGACCAAGAAATTTCAATTCTATTACGTATTACTTGGGCACAAGATTGGAAATAATAATTCTTCCTATGAGAACACATGACGAAGTTTCTGTCGATGATAATCAGTAATATCTTTTGCTTCAATATG